TGGATCGTTATTTTCATGAATCAAACATCGTATACCTACTATGAATAAGAAAGGTTTCAGGTTTTTATTTTAATATAAAATCTAAAACTCAAATGATTAATATAAAGTCAAAACTTATTTTTGTCGTTTAAATTACAAACCAAAGACTAGACCATAGACAGAATCAAGTACACTGGTTGACAAGATGAAATCTTTTGTTTGCAACAGGATGGCCAATAACTTTCCTAGGGTAATTTGGGGGCGCTGATTTCAAAAAGGACCATCATTTTGCTCAATTAGCTTTTTTTGCGATATTGTAGAAAAGAACGTTTTTTGACATTAAAATTTGTAGATACATAACTACAGGGTGTAGGGAAATTGTACGCAAAAAATTAAGGGGGTGATTCTACTTAAAAGAATATTGTCAAAAGTTCCTATAACATTTTTTCGAAAACTCACAAATAAATAAGTCATAGAGTCAATTTGCACTCTATGATTAAGATCCTAACTTATTATAGGTCGAACGACAATTCCTGTGGTACTTTTTTTTTATTTCTCCGAGCATCGTTCACATTGTCTATTTCATGTAATCGGCAAATTTAATTATGCCCAATTCGTGTATTCGGCAACATTTTGCCCATTTCATGAAATCGGCAAGTCCGTTGCCGATTTCACGAATTAGGCAAAATTTTACCGAATACATGAAATCGGCAATTACGCAAATTCGGGGTAACATATACACAAAATGTCAGAAATTTATTCTTCATACATTCTAAATGATATTTGTACCCTCGATTTTTTTCATTAAATTAAGTATACTTTATTATGAATTAAATACTAATTAAACGCAAATAATTATCCAAATTTATTAATTAAATTTAAGCGACATGCCTACATCATTGTCATATGGGCAAATTTTCGTTAAATGTACATTTGCTGTCCCCAGCTAATTTTATTTTTATTTTTGACCTTTGTTGATAAGTTTTGTATTCATTATATTTAAATACCCCCTTCCTGTTAGGACCCATCGTATTTTTTTTGTAATTACTTTATGTTTCTATATATGGAAGAAAAACTAGGTGAAATGTTCTGTAACCTAACTGTCCCCACAGGCGATTTTTTAATTTAAATTATTATATTCTTCTTCTTTGCAGCTTTCTTCTGAAAAAATAAATTATTTTTGAACAATGGAAAGTTCTTTTATTCGTATATAAAAATAATATAGTTTACTACAAAGTAGTTTAAATAGAAAAAAATATTAAAGTTCACATTCAAAAATCTTGTCTTTTTCCTAACGTCCCGACGCGTCATCTTCTATGCCGACTGCTTCGAAATAGAGACACGAGATAGAGATACTATCGTGTTATTTCTAGAGGGCATACATGTTTGATAGTTCTGCAACAACAAGTGAGCACGTGTAAACTGTGTGAATTTTTTTGTAAATATTTTAAAGGTAAGATTTTTTTGCGTACACTTTTGGTGTCTTTTACAAAACGCTACAAAAGTCTTGTTTTAGAAGTTAACTTTTTTATCTTCATTTTGTATTATAGCATAGTAGAAATTCCAAACAAATGCCGAAAGATATTTACATTTAACAGTATTTCTGTATAACGTTTTAAAAAGTCAAAAGCAATGTGTCATAAAACGTTCAGGAAGATGCGTTAGGAGGAGGACAATGTTTCATTTCTTCCTTGTATTCCTTCCCTATTTCAGATTAACCCTATAAGTTTTATTTCTTTAAAGTTTATTTTTGTTATTTATAAATTTTTTTTGCAGTATATTACACTGTTCTATCACAAAGGAAAAGAAATCGATCAAATTGACCTGCCTGGACAAAATATATATACAAAATGTACATTTAACGAAAATTCGCCCATATGTATACAAATTTATTCAATAAAACTAATCATTGACTAAAAAGTTTAAATTAAAATGGCAACTTCTAAAAACTCAAAGTAAAAATATAAATTTATGATTTTTTAATCCTACTTAAATAAGGAAAAATGTTATTTAACCCCGGCGCATTCACCATTTTTATGGATTTAATTGGATTTTTTTTCAAAATCTAATATATCTACCATTGGTAGACTACCAAGGACAAGGACCAAGGAGTTAAGTTTAGTTTAGTTTAAATTTACATAAAAAAAACTCGAAAAATACTGCCATGTAAAAAAATATTTTTAAATTTTTAAAAGCTGTAAAAATTTTATTATTTTTTTCGTTTTTTTTTTAAATCGCGGTATTTTTTTCAGAATGCTGAGATTTTTATACATAAAAAACTACATGACGAATCTTTTTATATTATATGTATGTATATATTTTTAAAAGACATTGATTTTTTAACGTCAAAATCACAAAATTCAATTTTTTTTCAAATTTTTTTATCATTAACTTTTAAATTTTGAAACTTTTCTGGCCTCCCGGTACAACTTCTTCGTATATTTGTTGAATTCACCCATATGCTTGATCATAAAGTATTTATGTTTTTTGTTGTAAATAAATGTAGGTACCTACACCGAAAAAAATAATGTAGTTGAGTTAACGTTTACCTGAATGTCATTTTTGAAAATGTTGTTTCATCAAAAAACCTATTGGATTAATCTATATTTTGGTGTCAAAGCAATAATCAGAGTTTGTCAAAGTTTATTTGTTCAATTGACAGTTAAAATATTGATTTAACACAAAGTAATTTTTTGAATTAAAATGTTTTTCCTATTTTAATTTGATAGCTGGAATTTGATACTGAAATTTTTAGGATTACCCAAAAAAAACTATTAAATTAACGTTTAGTTTCTCTTCAATCCAAAACATTAAATTTGTTCATTTAACAAATTGTAAATGTTACTTTAAAATGTTAAATTTGCATTCATAAAATTGCCGTGAAGGGCGCTTCGAACACCCACGCCACGTCACGGTGTTGATCACGTGTTCTTACATCACGCCACAGTTGGCTTACGATATAAGGTATATACCTATGCTCAGGTTTTTTATCACCATAATTATGATTACCAGAATTATATGATCATGTGCTAAAGCATATTAAAAATATTTATAATTAAAATACTCGTTAAAATTATTAAAAAAAAAAACTTAACCCCAAATATCTCCGTTCATGTCGAATTTATCAAAAATTTGTATGGGACATAATTTGATCAAAAATTAATTTAAAAGTAGCTGCCATCGAAAAAATTCTTTGCACAGTGGCGCCACCTACATCTTGTATTATTCAAAAACATTTTTCACACAGTTGTGAAGCCAATCATAGAGGCTAAAAACTGGCGTTTACAGAATTTAAATGTCACTTTTAGTTTTCGAAATAATTGGCCTGGGAGTTTTTATTGAAACACCCTGTATACAAACAAACATTTCAATATTTTTTTAGAAAAATAATGATGCAAATAAAATTAATTGACCCAATCCGAATAATTCCAAAACATTAATACCAAAAGTTTTATCAGGTTTCCTGATAAACTGAAAGCAAAAATCAGAACTGATTAAATTAAGTTCTAGCTAGAACCGTTCAAATTTCGCCTGTAATTGAAACTATACACAATATTAGAATATGTTTGAATTATGTTGCCAGTAAAGTTTGGTTAAATCTACAGATATTAAAAACTTTTTTATGACTATTCCACTCATTACTTTATGGACCAATCAGATTTCAGAGTGTTTTTTCAGCCATGGATCCTACACAAGGAGCTCGAACTTAATAGGGGAAATTGACAAAACCTACCCTCTAAATTGCACAAATTAAGTATTTTTTTCGCCACTAGCGGCGCTGATTGTCGATGCGTACTGACTTCTGTTTTTTTTGGGAACGTTTTGGTACAAATTAAACAATTGTTTACCAGCGCCCTCTTATCTTAGGAAGATTCTTGTTTACATCAAGTTCGTACTCCTTGTGTAGGCTCCATGTTTGCAGAGATAAAACTACTATTTAGGTGACTATTTCCCTCGTCTTAATTTCCAACAAACGCGCAATTTTGAATTACAAATGGTTTCTAGGTGGAAAAACTGTATGACAGCACCTGTCAGCAGTTTTTTGAGTTTACCCGCGTCAAAACTTGACAGCTGTTGTCACCAAAAATTGCAATTTATATTTTAATTGTTAAGTGTTACTCATGAAATAGTCTTATCAAATACCATTCGGATGTCGACATCTAATTTTTCCTGTGAAAAAAATCGAAAAAACACAATGCTAAGTAAAATTTTTTAACAAAATGCATTCGTGCAGTTGCAAAAATCCTCGTCTTCGACTCGGATTTTTTTGCCACCAGCACTCATGCTTCTTGTTAAAATATTACTTAGCAACGTGTTTTTTCGATTTTTTTCGAAAAAATTAGATGCCCTTATGATAGTACTTACGAAAAAACACTTGTTCATACGAGTGGCATAGCAAACAATTGGTTGCTAAGCGAAAAATAATGGTCAATGTTGACGTTTCTAATTTTAAAATAAAAATGTCAAAAAATATGCGTTTTGGTCAAAAAAATCATACAGAAATTAAATCAGCAGTTAATACAAATAAAAAAAATATTATTGAAATACCACTCGTGATAAAATTTTCCCTGAAAAATATTTACTCAAGATTTTTCCATCAAAATTTTGCTGGTGCATTAATTTAATACCACTTGCCTAGCGGCTCGTGGTCTTAAAAATTAATGCCACCTGCGAAATTTCCAAAAAAGAACATTCGTATAAATATTAAACATTTTATCAGTAAAATTTTTCACTAGCAGTATAATATACGATAAAAGTAAATGTAAATGTACATTTTATACTTTTAAAACTTTAACATTTGCACAAGTACCCAGTTTGAAAGAGAATATTTTTTTTTATTTCTACCGGTCTCTTATTTGTAGTTAAATGATTAATTTATTTGTAGTAAAATGAATTACTTTAATTAAACATTTTAATAAAACCTGTATATATATAACAATATTTGGAAAACCTTTGTTTCCAAATTCCAATAAAAAATGTATGTTTTTATTCAAAATATTTTTTTTTAATATTAATATTACGTACTTGCAATAATAAAGACGACCCTCTTTGGTAACATGAACAGTCCATCCCGGAGCCGGAGCGTAATCGAGCATGTGAGTGTGAGTGCCATCGAAATCTGGGACGTGAGAATTGCGTGGTTCTAGCGCACAGGACGCCGGTTTTGATCCACACTCGCCCGGAGTCGCTTGCAGGAGCATTGTTGTAACGATTAATCTAAGACATCTGTAAGGAAAGCAAAGAAAACTAATGTTGTAAAAAATGGATTTCAGGAAAACGATATTATCTTTAACAAATTGTTAAGTATAATATTTAAATATTGAAAAATACAACATTTCAAAAAATGCATACAACCTTATTTTTAAGATGATTTAGTGTGTGTGGTGCTTTCGATAAACAGCATTTTTATAATATATGCTTAAAGTGGCCTTTCGTCCGTCATTGTTACGCACCGTCCGTTTTAAAACATTTTCTGTCAAAATGTCCTGCATTGAGAGATTTTAAAGGAAAATACGGTTTTGCGTATACTCTGCATAATGAGATAGATATAAATCTCGCATCTGGCAACATTTTTTTTGCTATATATATTTTATTTTTTAATAGCATAAATTATCAATGCTGTGTCTAAAACAGCGTGCATGGTCCAATTGAGTATGAGTATGAGTATGGGAACGTATGGCAGGCCCCAGATATATTGTCATCCACTGATCTCCCGGGGTTATATTACCCCCTTTCCGTTTTCCTGCGTATCCCGCCAAATCACAGCATTACCTGTGTTTGTTGGATCCGAAGTTTTTACGCCGGCTGGTAGATCCACCCTAGGAGTTCGTGGATGACAGTGTCAAAGGTTAAGGCCGCTCCCGGGATTTTTGTCAGCCGGGTCGGGCCATACGTCCAGTTTAGGAAGGGTTCTTGGAGGACATTGAACTGACCCAAAACTAAGTACAATCCGGAATCCTCCTAAACCAGGGCTTTAGTAATAACCCCATTCATTTGGTATTCCTGAATGGGGGTGGGTATGTTAGTTTTTTTGCTTACTCCGGCTACCAACCTTGTATATTCTTTATTTATTTTATTGCTAAATTAGTGTTTATACCGTTTTCGTTTAATTTATGTCTTTGCATTCTTACTTTTTTTTTTCCAAATTTAATTTAAAAATATAAATATTAATATACAAAATAGATCAAACCAGCCATGTAGTGTATGTGGTGGAATGCCACCAAATGGTCTGCATTGACTATTGATAGGATCGTTCTTCTTTTCTTCTGTTCTGTTCTTCCATTTGAGCCGGGGTGTTAGTACGCTGTCCTTGTTGGTGAACTATTTATTTGTTGTTAAATTAGTGATTATACCGTTTATTATTATTTATTTTGTAACTTTGCATTCTTACTTTATTCCAAATCTAGCCTAAAAATAAATTAATTCACGAAATAAATACAGCCGGCCCTGTGGTGTATCGTATTAATTTTTGAAGTACGGACTTAGTCAGGCGTGTAACGTATGCTTTACAGATGGTTTATTTACGTTATTGGCTATTGAGTTCTTATTATCATCTTTGGGTTTGATTTATGGCTGTGACCCTAAATGCTTTACAATGTTACTTATTCAAACACAACACTTTTTTATGATGAATTTTGTCTTCTTGCTTGATTTAGTTTATTTGCTCTTACGCCTTTTTCAATGGTTGTTTATGATTTGTCCACTATGAGAAAATGAGGTTGTTTGTTTAACAATTACGGAAATGTTCTTATTATTTTTTAAAATTTAGTTTTTATGACAGATAAAAAGAATTCTTAGATTTTTTTGGCAACATTGTGAAATGCTTATATAAACATTTAACGTCAGCGTGCATGGTCCAATTTATATAAAAATGCAAGAATGGTGGTTGAACTTGTTAAATTTGATCCTACACATATATAGGTCTATGGACCCATTAAAGTAATCCTAAATAATAAACAATCCGTTACAAATCATATTCGTCAAGCTGCCGACAATTTTTCTGGAATATCCATATCAATGAATAGAACTCGAAAGCAGATTAAAAAAGGAAATTAACCGGCGTTCTGAAAATGGAGAAGCCAATCTTACAATAAAATATATACATGGTATTCCTAGCCAGTAAAGCCTATCTAAAAAAGTTTTTACTTGCGTTTGACGCGCTTTTAGGGATTCCAAGAATTGAGTCTATATAAACAAAACCGAAAAAACCGCAAATTCTTAGAAATTATCTTTATTTTACTTTTCGACTTATTTATTTTTCTGCTTAATTAGTCTTTTCGACCACAGTGCGGCGAAAAGGGTTTTTTAAATTATTAATAAAATGTGGAGTGAAGAAAAAACGCAATTAACAATAGAAACCTTAAAATGTATGCTATTGGTTAAATGCAACATGCAAGAGTCACAGTTAAAGCTTAGGTCGTGAGAGCTAAAGCAAGATTTGAATGTTGCGCCCCCCAAAACTTGTAGAAGAGAAACAATACAATGAGTTTAAAGTGTAATTTAAGTTATATATTAAAGCTTTAGATATAAAATTAGCAATATTTCATCATGAGTTGGCAGTAAACATTTTGTACAAAAATCTGTTAAATGGTTTGCGCCCCTGGTAGCGGCCCGCCCCTAGCTACGACTCTAGCAAGAGTCTTGCGAAGGATTTTTTAATAAAGTAAAAGACAACGACTTTTAAAAAATAAGCCTAATCCATAAATGAGGAGGTCCATTACAAAACTGGGCTTATCCACTTTTTAATAAAAATAAGTTAGTGGTGTCTGTACATTTAACATGTAGCCCCTTATAGGGGGTATATATACCCTGAAAAGGACATAATATTCTAAAACTCACCTTATTCCATTTAAAATTCATTTACAAATTGACTATCGTTCCAAAACTTGCCGTATTTATAGGTTATATCATGTCAGAACTGGTTTATACAAATTGGAGCTATACCTTTTTAATCAAGGTACCTATATAAATTTTATTCTTATGCCTATTTATTTCGTTTAAAGTATTCTATAGGCCTGATATGCGTTAGTACTCAGGTGGTTTTTGGTTTTTGACATTTTGCTCAAAATCACATAATATGGATAAGCCGAGTTTTGGAATGCACTTCCTCAAATACACTGTTAAAAATGTCTATCCTACTTTACAATAAAATATAGGAATTTTTATGCCTAATTGTATAAGTAATATAACTGTAGTAGTAGTGTATTTTTCCTAAACTTTTACAATTTGATCTTGTAAATTAACAACATAAATACTAAAAATGTAAAATTTACATTTAATGTAAATGTAAATATCCTGATTCAGTATAGCAATTTTCATTCTCTAAACGATTTTTCTAATTTTACTATACTTTTTAATAGTAAACATTTAGTAAATTTATCATTATTTTTAACAGTGTAACATTGAGCGACAAATTGGGGGTGACGAATTTTTTACTCGATTTCACTGATTTTCCCTCAAAGTATACTTATTTAATAATAAAACCCTCACTGTTAAACTTAGCTCGAATTTTGTTATGGCCTTATGAAGTTTTTAAGTTTTGGGTAATTTATTGTGAATTGATACGTCAAATTTCACTTTCAAATTTTTTCTTTTGGCACAGTAGTTGTTGTTTCTCGTTCCGACTCTTTGGGAAAAGGTTTTATATCTCGAAATAATATTTTTTCAATATTTTCCGAGCTAAAATTATAATTTTAAACAAATGTAATTTGGTAAACTTTTGAAATATACCTTTTTTGTTTTTTTATTACCAGGTACCTACTAAAAATATAATTATTTCATGGTTTTATGCAGTGTTGCCATCATGGTCACTTTAAAAAACCCTAAACTTAATTAAAAAAAATCCCTTGATTTTCTTAATTTCATTTAAAATGCTATAAAAATAATGTTATGAACACCCAAGGCGCACTTTGATTCATATGGCTAAAATATAAAAAATTAATATAGGTTTTAAAATGCATAGATTACATATAGTAGAGGAGCCCAAGATGCTAAATGGGGCTTTACTCGAGCGTCGTGGGGACCTCTTGGACTGTAAAGATTAGATGCTAAAAAGAAAAAAAGATTATATGATGTATGCCCTTTCACTGGTGGGAGGAGCGCACTATGGTTTATCGGCGGCAAAAATACATTTTTAAAAACTTTTATTTTTTGAACTTTTATGACGACAATTTCTTAAAAACCTCTCAAACCAATAGATTTCGGTAAAAAAATTTGTTTGAATAATTCTGTTTTGATTTTATGACACCTCAAAGTAGAATGTTTTAAAACAGTAAAATTGGCTAAAAATTACGCACACGTTTAATAATCTAGGTATATAAAAATTCCTATTTTATTGGAAAATTATTTAAAAATTAAAAGTTATAACATTTTAAAAAATCATTGATAAAATTAAGAAAAAAAATCATATAGGCATTTAACTAGGATTAACTTCGATTCACCGGGTGATCTCTACGTGAGGTTGTTCAGTAAACTTTATAAAGTATACTTTATATGCACACACAAATAAGCTGCATATACGTGCATATGGAAAAGTTATGATTTTTTATTTATCGAGCTGCATGATTAAATCGCGGTAGCTCTTAAATTACTAAGGCATTGTCTACGCACTCAAGATTTTCGAACCTTTAGATCTATGCTCATAGGTTTTAGTTGAATTGATTTATTATTATAAATATTTAAACAAATATTACATTTTGTATTTTGTTTATAATATTATCAAAAAACATATACAAAGTACCTACCTAGGTTTATTAATTAATTACCAACTCAAAACAAATTATTAGGTAAAAAATTATTCGCTTTCATAGGTATAAATATTATTACCTTAAAAATGCTATAGGATTTGTAAGGTAATAATATTTTACATATATATTGAAAGCAAATTTAAGTTGGACTATTACATTTTGATATTTTTCAAAATGAGTACTTCCTTTAGAGTTTTTAACAGAACTATTTTTAAATAGTGACAAAGACGTCTACTTTCTGAAAATTTAAAAAGAAGATTTCCAAATTTGGATAAAAATCAATTCAAACTTGTTTTGGAAAAAATTAAACCGAACTTTTTATATAAGTTTAAGACCAACTTATCACATCGGTGTTTAAATAAATTTAAAATTAAAAATGAAGAATGGTTACTAAATGAAATAATAATTGAATTTTATGAAGATATTTTACACCGACTTTTAATATCATCTGATCC